TAGTTATTTTAGCACTATTCTTTTAAATCTTATGATACATATATTCCTCGTAGACCTTTCTATACATTTACCATATATTCACATATTATCCTTAGTTTAAGTTGTGTTTAGTTCCATGATTTTCACTCGTATTATTCTTAATAAGATATCACACTCAGGAATTTACTATTTCCATTAGCCAATCAAGGCACAGCGATAATATCATATTGATTGTAGAATGACACCTGTCATGAAGTTATTATAAATAGAGCTCATGTAATTAGTTTTAGTCCGAGTGAAGAGAAAGTAGAATAAAGATCCCGAGTAGCTCTACCGAGAGCGGTCCATCCCATAACACACACTAGTTTCCCTCTGACGTTTGTGAGGAGGGAAACGTTGCGTGAGCGTGACAACCCTAAGAACGGCTGCAAAGAAGGCTACGTCCACACGTATCCGGATATTTTGAATCCGCAACTTTTTTATTGCGGATTGGGCTTTCGTCCACACGTATCCGGCAAATACGGTAGACGAATCCGCAACTTTTTGAATACGGTCTCCGGCTTTCCGCCCTCCGTAAAAATCCACTTCTAAATTCCAATTGGAATCCAGTGGAAGAAGAGCCACTGTGGAATCAACTGTTAATCCCATTATTATTATTTATTATTATCGTTATTAACTCGAAACTGGAGTATTGCTTTGCAAACTTTTGCTCCAGTTCAGTTTTTGAATTTAGCGATCACTTCAGCGATACTCAAATATTTCCGAGACTAACGGGCAGATTGCAGAAATAAATGTACTGTCTTTTTGAAAGCTTGTAAAGCGACGTATTTACAGCAGACAACCAGTATCGAGCATTTCAAAAGGTGTCTGAGGGGGAATGGGGTAGCTATAGGTAGTCACGGCTTAAATAAATAAACTTTAGTAATTACTTTTGACCTTGCTCCTCAGTTATCAAACTATTGAACCCGTTACCACCGGGCTGTAATACAAAAACTCTTTTTATGCAACAAACTTCTAGCTTTTTCAGACATTCACAATGAAAGCTTTGAATACTAGTGTTTTCTAAATTTTTATTTTCAACACCGCATTATCAACACATTCAAGTCTTGATTTTTTATCAACACATTCAAGTCTTGATTTTTCCCTTTCTTTTCAGTCGAAAAAGAAGAAGTAATGGTGATTGACAGGTCCAGTTCTCGTAAACGAAGAGCCGAGGAGGATGATGAACATGATGAGCTTCTCTCCAATACGAAGCGTAGTCGAGTAGAACATGACGACGACGTAATTACGCTTTGATAACAGCAAACAAACACAAGAACAAAAACAAAAAAAAGGACATGTGGTTTCAGTTTCTTAAGAGTATTTTTATCACAGGGACGTATACATTCATCACTAGAATTTTTTACATTTTTTCCTTTGCTGTATTCACCATTGCTAGAATGATTTTGTATGAGTGCATATGTATGGTTGCCGAAAGATAACGTTTCATTTTCGTCTATGAAACCTGGTAACGTTTCGGTACAATATGCATTCTTGTAGCATTCTCAGTTTGTGAAAATTCCAGTTACCTGTAAAAGTATTCAGTTTTCATTTCATGGGACTGAAGCTTTTCTCTCAAAGCCAACGAAGTCCTACACAAACCCTTGGCATTCAAATGGCTTCCACTCACTAACACTCACTCAAAAAGTTTTCTTGAAGCAAATGGTCCAATCAAAACGTTTGAATCCAAAAATCTAGTTGAGCTTTCAAGCTGCAGACTTTGATTTTAAGTAATAAAATTAGTGAAAGTTCCAAATTTGCCTAGACATTACCTAATTATATAAGTGTTTATGTTGTAAAAAATTTTAACTTCACTGATGAGATATTGTTTACACTTGTCTCAGTCTCAACTGTAACCCATTTCTGTTGAAGTGAAGTCACTAAACCCGTGCCTAGACATTACCTATTATATAAGTGTTTATGTTGTAAAAAATTTTAACTTCACTGATGAGATATTGTTTACACTTGTCTCAACTGTATCCCATTTCTGTTACAGTGAAGTCTCTAAAACCGTGCAATAGATATTAGACTAAACAAAAAAATGGATATGTGCAATAGATATTAGACTAATGCACTTTAGGAGACCCTAATTCCATTGTTTTTGTGTCTATTTGACTATTACACGTTGACTAGTATGTTTTATTTCACGGGTTGATGCCTTCACTATAGGGACACCATCTTTCTGTATGTGATTGGGAGTCAACTGGTTTCCCAGGAAGTTAAGGCCAGCGGTTTTTTCCATGCATTCTCGGTGAAGCTAATTAAAGGAGGCTACGGTAAGCAGGTTCGAAAGCCAGTGTCTTCCTGGTAGAAGGAACAAATGTCATTTGACCGAAAAGCCTCGAAGATTTTAAATATCTATTGAATTTCACCGTATACGCAGTAGCTTTTGGTTAGTGTAACGAGTATTTCGAACAGACGCCAACATTTCAGCGTCTCTATAGTGTCTAGCTCGCTCGTAGCTATAGCTAACTTGTGTTCTCGTAACCTAATAGAGTGATTGCAATTCGTAGGTATACATTACAAAGGTATATCAATGTTAGGTATAGAACTAAATTTAATTCGTTCTGTTATGTAAATGAGGGGGAATCTTTTTCTAGTGGGCAAATGGCACAAGCTCCATTTTTGCTTGTTGCAACTGATCAGAGTCAGTGACCAGGCGGCTGTGGCCAGACACGAACGCCATTAATAAAGTTCCAACAATATAACTGTTCTACTTTATCATCCCCCTTTTTGTTTTCATCATTAAGACAAAGTATGACTTGCTGACCCAGTTGTTTTATAGTCTAAAAAATTATAGTTTTGTATTCTCACGTGGCCTGATATACTAATATACCGTTTTGATAAAGAACGTTGGTCTCCTGAAAAGCTACACAAAGCTGAGGATTATGAGTAGATACATCAACTGTCTTGTTTGCTTTGAATAACAAGAGATAACTAGCTAAAAACTAGTGTGAGCTGCGTCGGTGTTTCTAATGAAACAGTAATGATGAAAAGGTAGATTTTACACCGTGAAAAGATGAAAAAACTTACTGACGTTTCGGACGCTAGTCCTGCTTTGAATAACATTAAGTCCCCTGCAAATGTATCACCCAAACCAACACATGAACTCTAAAATTTACTAACCAGCTAGCTGCCCCAAAGAAACCCCAAAGATAAACTTCTCAATAACGAATTGATGGACTTAAGATTTTTTACCAGTTAGAGTTCACCTTCTTGTGAGCTACTTTAATCTGCAATTTGTATCAAAAAGCTTCAGTTATTTGTTGGTACGGTACGTGTACCGTTATTTCAACACTGAATATGCTACTAAGCAATATGCCCTTACAGATTGGTTATGAAACTGTCTCATCTTCGCTCAGCAATCTCAGCTATGTTATGATATGCATGTATGTTATCTATTTTTTGTCACAAACTTTATTGAACTTTATCATAAGTTTAATAAACTGAAGTACACGAACTTTTATTGGTTTCATTTCATGGTTTCATTTTGGCGCCGTTTTTACATTGACTCAGTCACTTCTTGCTAAAAAAAATCCTGCAGTAGCGGTTCTAAACTCAGTACGTAGCGGTTCGCTAGGCGAAATAGTTTGAGTTTCCACTGGTTTGTTTATAATTTTTCTTTACTCTTGGTTTAATTTTGGCGCCTTTTTTGAAATCGGCGATGGCTTCAGATCTAGGATTTAGTAGCTCTAGGTTTGGTTTAATTTTGGCGCCTTTTTTTGAAAGTCGGCGGTGGCTTCAGATCTAGGATTTAGTAGTGGCTTGATTTGACTTTCCTCTTGGTTTTGTTTAATTTTTGCGCCTATTTTAGTCGGCGGCAGCGTCTAGAGTTCAATAGCGTGGCTCGGCTCAGTTTGACTTTGGCTCTTTCTGGGTTTAATTTTGGCGCCTTTTTTAAAAAAGTCACCGCAGAGTTCGCGGTACCTTTAAACAACACGCTTGTAAGCGGCACGGAAAGAACAGTAGCGTCGTGACAAAGAAGGCGGTTTCTTGCCATCCCATTCATTTTTTCTGGGTAGAGTGCCGCTTTGACGTTTTGTTGTCTTTAAGCTGGCGTGCGCGGTAAGTCTGTGATGGCACTCCGCCTTTAATTGACTTAACGATCCATTTTTATTGTACTCTTTTTTGCAAGGACCCGCTAAATTCATTAATAACAGCCGTGTCATCTATCTGGAAAATGCCTGTGAAAGTTCAGTTCAAGTGCTTCGGGTTTAACACTTAGAAAACTTCACCACCGAAGGGCTTCAATAACCTGGACTGTATATCAATAATGTTAAAAATTGTCTTTTCATTAAAACTTTAACCTTGAGTATTTAAACAAGTATGTGTAAATTAGTTAACGATTAACGCAGGTTTAGACACAAAACGGACAGACCGAGCAAACCGTGGGTGACAAGTGCGGAATACCTGGCGGTGCTGAAAGCGAAAATCACATAACAACTACTCCATTAGCCTGAACTGAATGTATCTTTGGGAATTTTAACGTATTATATTTTCGGCGTAGGATGTCATAGAGCTCGATAAAAAATGATCGGGTGAGCCGGATTTGCAAAATTGAACTGTGGATTTTAACCTTGGGAACAGCTAGTTTTTCCGTTTTCCTTGCAATAGCATGAAGTCATAGCAAATCAAGACTTTTTGTCGCTCGTCGGGGTAAAGAGGAATGTTATAGCTTATGCATGATAGAAGCGGGTTCCCTGTGGAAGAGAGAAAAGGAGCTCGTGGGAATGGGACAGAGTTGATATAGGGAAGAGTAGACAAGTTGTGGTTCTTAAAAAATGAATACGGAATTCGAATGATTTTATCTTCAGGACAGCACATATGTGTAAGTATATTGATTCCGTTTTTCTTGGACAGAATATATTCTCATATAAGGTTTTGCAATTGTCATTCTAGCGAATCGTGAAAACCTGAAATCGTGAAAACTTGAACTCGTGAAATTAATCCTGTAACGTGGAATTGTGAAATCATTGACTGACTGAACTCTGAATAAACTGATAAYCTAGAACTTGAACGTCACRCATCTTGACTATAGTCCTCGAGATAATCTAGAACCTTTACAAGGAAAAAAGGCGGTGTACTCTTAAATCTCAACCGAATTGAAGGGAAATAATGAGGTTAACGACTTTACAAAAGAATAAAATAGGTACAAAATGACCGCCATTTTTGCCGCCCAAGTGCGCCTTGACTCTGACCACTCCGCTAAATAACCAGCCTTGTGATTGGTCAAGCAGTGTCCTTGTTTCTATTAGGCCTTCCTATTGGCTGATTTGAGAAGCGGCGAAGACGCCTTTGAAAATCTGAATTAATTTAGCGCGTAAATATATAAAGATGAGCATGGAGGATTGTGAACTGTATTCATTTTGATCTTAGATCTCGTGCAGCACAAGCTATATAACAAATCTACATTCCTACGTGAAAAATATATTATTATATCTCTTATTGTGACGATGGCGTTTTCGAGCAACTCTAACATGACGTTTCTTGTCCTTCGCTCTCAAACCAATGGTTCCAAACTCAACGTTGCTCAGGTTGGTTCAAATCCATACAAATATATCCAATGACATTGTATATAGAATGCCCTAAAATTTAAAACTGATGTATTTGTTTCCGTTTTTCTTCAGCTTCCAAAAGATTTTTTGAGAAGCGTCGATCGTCGACTTGGGACGGAAGGAATACCTCAGCTACTTCGCCAACTACGAAAGCATGTTTACCACAGTGATGAGAAGTTCAATATGGATATGTGTGTTAAAAATCTAATAGTAAGTCATCTCTTCAACTTTATGCATCTAGATATAACCTGAACGTCATAATACTTCAAAATCTCTGTCGAGATTTTACTATTTTGTCAAGTTTAAAGCCTAGAAATTATCTCGACTCCAAGTTGGCTTAAGCTCAAACTTGATTTTCTACTTCACTGTTAGATCAAAATATATAGTAATAAGACTTTTTTAAGCTGTGTTTCGAATTCATTTACTCTCATTTAACTTGTGTACTCATGTTAAAATACAAGTCTGATAGAAGTCTTACTTTATATTCAGGAAATACGCGAAACGTTAGAAGCAGAGAACCAAACAAGTCCTGACTTCCCACTTTTAAGCGAAAGCCCATTGACGACTAAAAACTACAAAAATAAAGTACAAGTTGGCAAAGTTATAACCCTGTTTGGCGGAGTAGAGGTGAGTTTATGTTCTTCTATGAGTATCAAAGAGAAAAACTAACGGAAATTGAAGATTAGAGAACATAATTTTGAATTTGAGTTTTGACGACATCAAGATATGCTTTACGATTTTGTTCCTTCAACTGGTTATAAAGCCATTTTTTAAGATTTTCCTCGCAAGTATTCTGACTAAAAATAATAATTAGAAGGGATATTTTCTAATGTTTATTTCGCACCAAAATCCACGTGTTTATTTCTGTCATCAAGTGATTTCAATTTCATCTTGTAGATTGCAATTTATGTAGATTTCGTCTGGTCACGTGATTCGAAAGCTTGTTCATTATCAATATTTAATTTAAAACTGTTTATCAAATAATAAACCCTCCGAAATCATATTTGATGTGACAAGCACTTCAAAAGTCATAATTTTCTCAAGGGAATTGGCATATAACACTTTGACGTCAACACTTTTTTTTATGAAGAATTTCACAGTTTACAAACATCGACATCAGGGATCTTTGAAATCTCTTTGTTTCAGCAGCCAATAGAGGTCTGGTTGGTTGGCACATTAGGTGACTAGCAAGAATAATAGAAATTAGTCAAATTTTTTCGTGTGGGATTTATATTTCAATATTTTACTATTCTCACTTTTCAAAATCTTTTTAACTAAATTTTAATTTCATTTGTGTTAATGCTATGTTATATGCACTTTTTTTGTGTGGGATACATATTTTAATATTTTGCTATTCTCGCTTTTCTAATTTCTATTATCACTAATCTTATAAACTGAATAATGTAGTAATTGTAATATTGTAGTTCTTGACTATTCTTTCTATCATTTTTTGCAGACTCTGGTTGAATTATTGTTCATCCCAACAAAACTGCAACACAAGCCAAAACGGCTAACAAGAATCGCAGCAAGTAAGAACATGCTAAGCTATATGTAATACTATGAGAATTAGGAGAAAAACCTATATTTAAAATATTCTGAACTCCAGCAAACAAACAATGAGACAGACTACTAAAAATAGCTTAGAATACTATACAAAGTTGTATACCATGTGGATGTAATGTCGAGATCACTTTTCAATTAATAACATGTGATTGATTAAGCAACCAAAAACAGAAATATGATACATTTTGATATTATGATGATTATCAATTTTAGAAATTATAATATGATATGATATGATATTTTATGATATGAATTTATTGCTATTTAAAAACTACATCTTCCTAATTAAATGCAGTTTTCTCATTATTTTTAGAAAATATATTGATTTTGATTATTCACTGCATATAACTATTTTAGAAAACTAAGAAGTTCATCATAATGCAAATTTTAAGAAAATGTTGTGCAACCTTATGCATTTTATTGTATCATAAATATAAGAAAGGGCTCCCATAACATCTCTGTTAGAGTCATAGAAGGGAAATACTGTCAATCAAAAAGGTTTTCACTCATTCATTCATTTGATTTGATTTTCCCAGGTATGCGTGCATCCCAGATGAATGACATTGTTGTCTACAGTCTAGAAATCCTTCATATGTTGTGTTTAACAGTAAGTAATACTATTATTTTTTGTCTTTATACATGAGAATGATTCTCCAACACTTCTCTCTTTTGTTCAGCTTTATTAAATAAATCAGTGTCCCAGTGAAGATATGTGGAATTTCAAAATGTTTAGTAATAACAACAGAGTATTATATAGCGCATCCTGAAACCTCAATCACTTTACAATAAGTAATTTAAAGTC